TTTAGAGCAGTTTCAGGTTCACAGCATAACTGAGCAGAAGGTACAGCGACTTTTCATATACTCCCTCCCCATGACATGCATGACCTCCTCCACTATCAACATCCTTCACCAGCGTGGTTCATTTATTACAACTGATAAACTGATAATCACCCCAAATCCACAATTTTCGTTACTGTTTATCCTTGGTGGTGTACAGTCTATAGGTTTAGACAAATGTATAATGCCATGTATCATCCAACCACTATATAGCATCACACATAGTAGTTACACTGCCCTAACACAATTATCCTAATATTTCCAATTTTAAAATAAAAGTTAAAAAAGATAAAGGCCCATAAAGTTTCCCAGTTACCAGGAAGATAGTTTTTATGTTAAAGAAAAGCATGTCTTTTCTAAGGCAGCCACACAAAGGTTTCATTTCCAAAGAGATAGAAACGCTTATACATTCAGCCTTTATTTTCTAAGTGTTTGCCCCTTAGAATATAGTGCTTTTGAAACATCTTGTAAACTAATAAGTTACAACCAAGAATTAATTCTGAATTCCTAAAAACCAGAGAAAACTTGATGAAATTAAAATGTCAACACTTTCAGGTTTTCTGAACCCTACTCTTAATCCGGTACTTATTACACTGAACCAAAATGCCTCTCATAATAATCTGCTGAAAAAATTATTTTGACATTGCAAATATGCTATGGATACTAACAAAATTAGTCAAAGTTTCAGTTATTTCAGGCTACATTATAAGGAATTTCATTGTAATTGAAGTGGTTGAATTCTTTGAACAATACAGTCTGCAGTGATCGAACTTGAAATATTAGATAAGTGTTTAAATCTCAGCCTTCTTTTCCTGATCATAAGGATGATCTGGATAGCTACTTCATTTTAGTTAGCTTTGTTGGTGATATTCATGCTTGTGTTTAATTATACTTTTGATCCAAACTGCTACACTGTATCTTTTTGTAATAGATTCTCTACAAGATAAATAATTTAGAACTATAGTTTAGAAAGTAAACAGTCAGCTGTATGGAAGAAAGACAGCAAACAGGAGAAGTTAGAAGCACCCAGACCAGTTATAAGGCTACTCCACTGGTATAAGGGACAGGCGAGCCCTTTAAGTAAGGCGGTGCCTGTGAGAAGGGGAAGGAGGTGGTAGGGTGGATATTAGAAAAGCAAGTCAACAAGACTGGAGACTTATCAGATCTGAAGACCTGAGTAAAAAGAGAGTGAGGTCAGTAAATGAGATGGGCAACACTAGTGGGGAACAAGGCAGACAATGAATTCTCTTCAATATGCTGAGATGGAGACGGTGGCAGAGAATTACCATATCTCATCATAAACCTAGCTACATACTGTTTGACTTTTTAATCTATGTAATTTGATAAAAGAAAAATTAAAAGAAAAGGGAAGTCAAGGTTCAGAATAGGAAAGAAAAAGGAAAATATTGTACTAAACTGGATATTATTAATAATATATTGCACCCTAACTCTGAATGAAACATTTTGATTCTTCAATTAGCACCTTCCCACATTAAAACCCAAGAAAAAGACAAATTTTGATATATCCAAGGAATCCTATTCAGAAATAAAAAGGAAAGAACTACATATAAGTAACAAAATGAATCTCAAAGTAACTATGCTCAATCCTGTTCAGAAATAAATAGAGTCCTATTCAGAAATAAAAAGGAGAGAAATACATTTAGGCAACAACATGAATGAGTCTCAAAATAAGTATGCTGAGTAGAAGAAGCTAGACAAAAAGGAGAGTCCATTTTTATAAAACTCTGGAAATACAAACTCATCTATCACTACAGAAAGCAGATAAGTGGTTGTAAGGAGTGAGGCAGGCATGAGTAGTACTGGGGAGGCACATGGGGAAACTTCTGGAAGACAAGGATATGTTCATTATCTTGGTAGATGTATACATGTCAAAACTTATTAAATCGTACACTTTATATCATACGATTTATTATATGTCAGTTACACTTCAATAAAGATGTTAAAATATCCCAGAAAAAAAATTTTAAGGACATATTTCTCTTCTCCAGTCATTCTTATTTTCAGTGGACACTGCTTAGCTTTCTATAGCTGAATTCTCTTTCTAAAGTATCCTTTTTTCTCCCCATCAGTCAAGGTTTTAAAACTCAGAACAATAAACAATTCACTTCAAAAAATCAAAAATCTAGGTCAATTTTATGAAAACTGGTAATTTGGCCAACACAAACCAATGTGGCTTCAATGAGTTGGATAACTGTAAACCAAAGCAAAGAAGCATGGAGTTATTGCAAGTAAATGTATTTTTGTCATTTCAGGACTGAAAACTAGTCAATGGTTCCCTCAACCCAACCCACCCTCCAGTATTACCTCTGAAGCTTCCTCAGGGACTAGCCAATATGCCAGGTTAGGAGGTAATGCACTAATTTAAAAATTTCCTCTTGTAAGTACCTATTAAAAGTACTATAACCAGAATGTACCTTAAAGACATCTTCTCTAAAAAATGATAAACTTATTAATTCTGTATTGACAATAACTTGCAGCTCAAATTGGTTTTCAGTTTCAAAGCATGCCAGAAACAATGACAATTTCCATAAAGAATATGCAGAAATTAACTGGAAACTTGAAAGTTCAGGACACTTTATATGAATCAGTAAGTGGTGTAACTTCCTCAATAACCTCTATGTAGGCAATGAAAGACAAAAGCAATTCATATCTCTTAGCTTTGATGAGAAAGCTTAGGTTCACATCCCTACATCTGTGATCCACATGTTCCCGTGTACTGTCCAAGCTGGGAAGGCCATCACTTGCACTGGTGACTCTGCACCTTAGGGAGGTAAATATCTTAAGGAAAAAACAGACAGAAGTCTACCTGGTCAGGTCAGTATATCAACTCGTATGTTCTAAACACCAAGAAATGACAGCCATAAAATCTGTATCTTGGTAGGACTTGAAATATAGACCAGCTAAACAATTTATATTCAAGATTTCCTGTAGTCTTATTATTAGGATGTTAAAGACACTGGGATATATGGAGTGATCAGGAAATGACTGATACAGAAAACTTAAAGGCCATTAAAGAAAAAAACTAAAATATAATACATATATACATGTATTCTGAATCACACTGCTGCTGCTAAGTTGCTTCAGTCATGTTCGACTCTGTGCGACGCCACAGACAGCAGCCCACCAGGCTCCTCTGTCCCTGGGATTCTCCAGGCAAGAATACATGCATGCATGCATGCTAAGTCGCTCCAGTCTTGTCCAACTCTCTGAATCACAAAATGCTTTGAAATAACACATTTTCTAACACAAGGTCCTTAGCTTGCTCACTTCCCAGGCAACAGGGCTAGCTCATTTATTCATTCATCAAAATCAACACACCCCCTTTGAAAACAGGTCTCCTAAATTTCTCCACTGACAACACTCAACTGTGTGACCTTAAGAAAATTATAGATGCTCTCTGGACTAAAAGTGTGTGATTCTAAGAAGTAGAGAAACCAAGAGTTTGAATCTCACATTGTCTATGGCTCCTACAGCAAGACCAAAGAAGGTTCCACATAATCCATACTTTCCTTCAAGCAGCCTGGCTTGACAACCATGAATTTTTAAATTATTTTTTAAATGACCACAGTAGAAGATTACACAAAGTGTTTGATATCCTTTAATTTGTTCATCTTTCAGAATATAATCTGTCCTCATTAAGCCTCTAGAATACATTTAAGCAGCCAGTAGTGATGGTTTTCTCCTCCTGCTTTTTAAAGATAATGATAAAAATGTTTTACATACCTATGGGTGAAAATAATTGCCAAGTAACTAATACCCCTAAATACACGTTAAATACTCCTGTTATTTTGAAATACATATAAAATGTCTTCTAAGAATGACTATATATGGCGGTCACTGATTGATGTTTTGGCACCAGAACAGTTTCACAGCTGGTTGTTTCAAGCTAACACTGATTACTTTACTTGACCTTTCCAAAAAGTTCTCAATCCATAGCTGCTGCTGCTGCTGCTGCTAAGTCGCTTCAGTCAGGTCCGACTCTGTGCGAACCCTTAGATGGCAGCCCACGAGGCTCCGCCTTCCCTGGGATTCTCCAGGCAAGAACACAGGAGTGGGTTGCCATTTCCTTCTCCAATGCGTGAAAGTGAAAAGTGAAAGTGGAGTCGCTCAGTTGTGTCCAACTCTTCGCGACCCCATGGACTGCAGCCTACCGGGCTCCTCTGTCCATGGGATTTTCCAGGCAAGAGTACTGGAGTGGGGTGCCATTGCCTTCTCCCAATTCACAGCAGTAAGGGATAAATGCCTTCAAAACTGAAGCAGCATTGGGTACTGTGAACAATAATAAGTTTGCATCATTTTTAGGGATAAGAAAGTAGAAAATAATACTTAAGATATTCTGTATTTAAAAATTACATTATGACACAAAATAGAAAACAAGAAAACCATGGAAGTTCATAGGAAAATACAGCAGAAATACCCCCCCAAAAGCTAAAATACAGCAGAAATACCCCCAAAAAAGTTCAGAAGTTATTCTCGATGGTGAGGCTGGGGTTGATCTACTTTCTTTTATATATCTATTCAGTTTTATAACGGCAAAAAAACCTACGTAATTTAAATAGTTGACCAAACGCAGAAGGTGTCCTCTTCACTCTATATACTAATAAGATTAAAGTCACAAAGATCATGACACCAAAGCAAGAATACACTGCGACAGAACAGAATTTTGTGAACACTCTAGCAGATATACTCTGATATATTACAAACTCACCAGAGAGCCTCCTCCTTAAAACCTACAATAACAAAGAGTAACAAGTAACTCTACAGTAACAAGTCATTTCTGCTCACATTATGGCACAGCTGAAACCTAGTGCAAATAACCCCCGCTTACAGAACCTCAAACACTCATTCTCTACCACGCCAACACTCTCTAAGTCTCCGCAGCCCACGAGTACACTTTCGGGACAGAAAGGATGGATTTAATTGTCCCTCTTCGAGAACCTTACTTAGAGTCTGTACTCGTAGGGGAGTATGAACCCGAGTCGCTGACCGGATCTTCAGGATCATAATCCTGATCTTCTTCTTGTGAAGAAGGGTCTGCAGGGAGTCCCTCTGGGCTCCGAACCGCACCGCACAACGGCAGAGACGCCATGAGCAGGGATGCCGCTGCTACAAGTATAGTAATTCAAACCCCGCATCTAGGGCTTGCCGGGGCCGCCATGTTGCCTCCTCTCGGGAAGCGACCGAGGCCACGTGACCACCAATTCTCAGCTGCAATTGGTGGCAGCTCAGGTTGCCAGGGAGACGGGGAAGCTTCTCGGAGAGAACTGAGACCCCCTGAAAGGAGCCAATGAACTAAAATTTCCAGGACATCCGGGAAGAATGGAAGAAGCTAAAACTTAACCACTTACGCTCCCCGAAAGACACTCCTTTGGAACAGCTTAACTTATTAAAGCTAGTGGAGGCCCACTGGGTTTTTTCTTTTTCTTGCAGTTTGCACTTTGTTGCTTCACCGAACAGCTGTCCAATGGGCTCCGCCTGCGTTTCCCTAGAGGAAAGGAAACTCCCCTCTACCTCTCTGTCCGTGCTTGACATGTACGCTTTTAAGCAATGCCATGTAGGTATTAATGTAAATATGCGCCATTATTTCTTTGGTTTTCTTATTGTTTCACAGAAGAAAATATTTTCACAGTTCTCCCAAGCAGATGTTGTAGAGTTGCTTCAAATTGGTGCCAATATTGTGAAATCAACTGCGTGTTCATTTTCTAACTGAAAATTTTATAATCTGATGAAGTGTTCTCATCACTGAAGTTGTAAGTGTACACAGGTAAAATTTACCTGTCTTAAGTACTCAGGGCTGTTGCACTGGGAAGAACCGGAGGGACTGGGTGGAGAGGGAGGTGGGAGGGGGGGATCGGGATGGGGAATACATGTAAATCCATGGCTGATTCATGTCAATGTATGGCAAAAACCACTACAATACTGTAAAGTAATTAGCCTCCAACTAATAAAAATAAATGGAAAAAAATTTTACCTGTCTTTTGCGAATACTTGCATCAACTATTTTTGGAATGTACAAAATAATAGCATTAATTTAGATTCAGCCATTGCTCTAATTACTTGTTCTATTCATAGGTATATGAATATACATGAACTAAATTTCTCTATACTAAAATAAGGAAACTGAAGCTTAGGGAGGTTATTCATCTTGTTTATGGTCACACGGGTAGCAGGAAACAAAGCCAACAAGAGCTGAAGTCATTAACGATTAGATTATATTTCCTCCTCAGCACCCAGTAATTCAACTATTAGAGATCAATAATTCAGTATTAGAGATATATTCTAAGAAAATAAGAGATGCAAATAAAATTTATAAAACTTATAAAAATAAAAAGCTGAAAACAAGTTTAATGCTCAGCAAAAGGGTAAAAGTTAAATGTCTTTATATGTAAAGGATGATGAATATTATGATGTTAATAGAAATATTTTCAAAAGCAATGCATGGGAAAATGTTCCTATTATAGCTGTTAATTTTTTAAAAAGATCTTAATGTTATTTTTTTTTATCTCAATGGATGGGGGCTGGGGATTCAACTTAAACTATATGGGTAGATGGTAGAGACTGAAAGATGAAAGTGCAATTTGTAACATATAGTGTACTATGATAAATACAGAGTTCGAATGGAATACGCAAAGGAAAACAAACTTGGGACATGTAGGGCCACAGCAGATTTCTTAGAGGAAGGCTTAACTTATTTTGTTATTACAGAATATTATGTTCCAAACAGTGAAGAGTAGTGAAAGATGAGTCATCCCATAGCCCAGAGAGATATATGCATATATATTACCCAAGAAAACCTGGGCAGTAGCCATTAAATATTTAAACTTTCAAGAAGCAATTTAGTTTCATTTGTCACATTAAATTATGTATATTTGAATATCCTAAGTTTAATGGTTTTATTTGTATTGATTTCTAAATTTGTTTTTTAATAATTGTTAACTAGCTATTGAATTTTGTTTTGCAGTTTATTTGAATTAATTTATAAAATTGTTTTTATCTTATGAAAGAGCTGTAAAGCACAGAGCTTATACCTGCTTATTTTAAATTATAGTAAAGTCTGTCATCCCTGGAAATCTGTAAGTCTTTCCTGAATAGAGAAGTCCACATACCACAAATATTAGAAAACAGGGGACTCGTTCTTAAAGGGATGAATGGGTAAAGGGATGGTGACAGAAAGAGATGGCACCTAAGGAACAGATGGAGAGATATGACCTTGCTCAGCAGCTCTTCTCTGAAGCTGGTACCCAGAGGAGGTGCAGGTACGGATGCTGACTTGCCAGTGTCACCCAGGAGGCTAAGGCAGACTCCATGTGATGGTGTTTGTTTTCTCTAGTAGTTAGAAGACGATCTTGCCAGGTAAAAGTGATGGGGAAAGTAGTGGGGTCAACAGCCTCAAGACAGTGGAGTCAGGAAAGAAAAGAAACATATTTCCATCAATACTGAGTTCTGCCCCCCCCAAAAAAAATAAAGGTGTACTACTTTTAAAGTTAGAGATACTATTAAAAGGTGGAACCGCTGTAATAGTTATATTTTGTTTCATGTTAAAACATACATATTCTCACCACAATCCCTAAGATTCCATTCTAAAATTATAATGCTTTCAGTGCCTCTTTAAAGTTAGACTTTCATCATTTTAATAGCACCTTATTGGATGTTTTTTTTTTAAAAAAAAAAGACATTTTAAATTTTAACAAAGGCGCTAGTGGTAAAGAACCCACCTACTAATGCAGGAAACATAAGAGACGCAGGTTCGATCCTGGGGTTGGGAAGATGCCCTGGAGGAGGAAATGGCAACCCACTTCAGTATTCTTGCCTGGAGAATCCCATGTACAGAGGACCTGGCAGGCTATAGTTCCTAAGTTGCAAAGAGTCAGACACGACCGAAGTGCCTTAGCATGCATGCACACATTTTCTACTATAAATAACATTTCATTATTTTCTATAAGCATCTGATAATTTCATACCCTGCTCATAAGTCTCAATGCCACCCCATTAAACAGAGAATAAAATTCAAATTGTGAAGTCTCTAAAAACAACACCTTCCAATCCTACAAATAACTGAGCATTAATATGGAATTAGAGACTTTATTTCCTGTTATACATTAATCAAGTTAAGCAAACTGTCAAACTTAACTAATCAACACATCTTACCTGGTGCTTGTTAAACATGCAGCTTTAGGATCCTACCCCACTTCAACAAGATCAGGATCTCCAGAGGACGAGCCTGGAAAGCTCTATTTTGAAAAGTAGCCCTAGGGATCCTCAGGTTAAAGGCAAACTTGGGAAAAACTGCCCTTAGCCTTCCTTTGGTTCTATGCTTCCTGCCTACAGGCCCACTGACCATTTCCTAAACAGGAACCATTCCCACCTCCTAGTTTTGAGCCTGGCAGGCAGAACTCTCCCTGCTATAGAAACAATTACGGGTTTAATCTTGAGTGAAAAACCTCCCCACACTTTACTTTTCCTATCTGTGAGTTAGGATATTGGTACCTATTTCACAGGACTGTTGAATCCAATGAGTCAATGCATGTAAAATACCTAACACATAAAGTGTCAAAAATTTTTTAACTCTTCTATAGATCATTTACTCACACAGATCTCTCCCTATGGAATGTTGCTTATCCAAAACACTACATTTTCCTTCAAGACCCAATTTCAAGTTGTACTTTTTTCAAGAAGTCTCCCCAGGCTCTTCTCCTACCTTAGTAAGAATTCCTCTTTCCACCTCCCCCTCATAACATATCACATAAAGTTCTGTTAATTGCCAGTCTGCCTAGTATCTAAATTATTTAGGAATGCATCTATATTTGCTACCAAATGACAATTCCTAGAAGACATGACTTTTTTTTTTCAGTCTTCTATCTTACACAAGGTTGAACCAGGGCAAGAAGTGCCTCATAAAAGTATATCTTTAGGAAAAGTCCTTTCATGCTAGATAAGTATCTGAGTTATGTCAACTTAATTTCTGTAAGTTTAATGAACAAAATTCCTCCCTCTCCCCAGAAAAAGTTATCCCTTTGCCTGATCTTTCACAGAAGAAGAAATAATTGCAATCCTTTAAAATTCTTATTTAAAATTTCAGGTAAGATAATATGATTTCCAGATTTCTAACTTTATATGTCATATTTAACTAAACTAATATTTGATACCATTAGATGTATTGGAGAGGATGAAGAATGGAAAAGAAGAATATGTCATTTTCAAGGACTTTGTAAGAGTACTGACTTTGCCTGTCTGTCTCATAATTATCAATTGCAGGAAGACTCAAAAGATTTAGGTTCTTTTTTTTTTTTGGCTGCACTTGGAGGCTTGCCTGGTCTCAGTCTCCCGACCAGGGGCTGAACTCTGGGCCACAGAAGTGAAGTCCAAAATCCTAACCAGTAGGCCACAGGGGAACTCCCAGGCCTGGGTATATTCTTATTTTCTGTTCCACTACAAATAGCCAGCCATCTTCTGAGGCCCAAATATGTTTAGTTTAATATATATGAGACATCAGGTCCTTATTTCCGTTGATTACCATCTCGGCTAGGCAAACAATACAATACTGACATAAAATACACCAGATAAGAACCTAATTAAATATTTAGTATCTTTAGCAGGTTCAAGAGCTCTTTCCTAAATAGTAATATAAGCTAGCAATGAGAACCAAATGAAAATAGGGCCACAGGAGGTCATGTCTATTAAAAAATTTTTAATTGCTAGATAAAAATTCATGTAATGAAGGTTTATTAGGAACTAATTAATATTGCCTTAATTGTGAACATGGAAATAGTAATTCATGAACTATGTAGTAATATTGACAACCACAGTTATTTTAAAATCATGAATAATTAACTGGTAGACTTGGCAAAATAGCATTTTAAAACCTGAGACTATATAATATGGACTTTTTCAAATTTGGGATAGATTCATAATATATAACATTTCAGCAATCTCATGTTTATAGAATTGCATTATGATTGAAAATTTTCATTTTCCTGTATAAAAATTGAACTACCTGTAAGAATGTATGGAATTTGTTCTAAGATCATGCATACTGCATTTGAACAATAATGGAATATAGATGAGAATCTACAAGTGAACATAAAGGTA